ATTTTCCTTAAAAGAATTACCCATTTATGGGAGTAATGCAAAAAAATTGCTTCTCTTCATTACTAATAGCAATTTGATCTTGTTCAACTTCTTCAAATACTGAACAATATCTTCTAGTATGCTTCAATCAAATGGAAGTTGTGCCAATTAGATTATTAATATTCATCAAATTAGACCTCTTTCAAATTAAAACCAAAAAGTTCTCTTCTTTATTTCAATTATAACATAAACAAGAAATTCCCCTTAAGCAAACACAACATCTAGAGATTGAAAGGTAAAAATAAAAGGACAAATTATTAATAAGTTCAAATAGTTGAATTTAATTTTTATAAAATCCTATTGAAAATAAGTTCTAATTCAATTATTGTTGAAAATAACTTTTTGTAATTTTTTTTTTTACATATGTTGTTAAAATTTAAAAATTAGTAATTTTTTTATTATTATTTTTATAAATTGTTGTTAAAACTTATAATTAGATATGTTTTTCTGTAACGAGTTTTTCAAACGGTTGCTAAAACTTATAATTTGTGGCATATTTTGTAGCAATTTTCAAACTGTCGTTGAAAATTAACAATTAGTGACATTTTTTAATAGTGTCCAATAAAAAATACCATTAATTCTCACAAGACCTATTGAGTGATAAGTCCACCTATTAGGACTTACACGTAAATACTCCAAACAATAATTGTTACATCTATTTTATTTTTAAAGTTTTTATTAAAATTTACTTAATAAATTTTAACAAATAAACGATTTGAATAATTGAAATAAAATTTAAAACAAATCTCATTGAAGGAACAATCGCGATTGCTGTGCAAAGGGTGCAACAATCACTCCATCTCTCTAACAAGGCTAGTACATGTTATAATTGAAAAAAGTAATTAATTTTAAATCACTAATAAAATTCGAAAGAGACTAAGACCAACATATGAATACTTGTTGAAAGCACATTTATTGGACATGATCACTATTTATATTTTTTTCTTACTTTTGAAGTGTATTTTAATCCTCATGCCATTAAATTCTTCTTTTTCTTTGTTCTCCTCATATGTGAGCATGCACGTGCACATACACACGCTCATGATAATAATACTAACAAATAATAATAATATTAATAAACTAAAGTTTAAAATTTTAGATTGAATATCAAAATGAAACCTTATTTTATTAGATTTTTGAAAAATTAAAACATTCAACATAATTTTTTTTTAAAAAATCTTAAACAATATATTAAGTGATTTAACAATTGAGCTACCTCTGATAATTATTATTATTTCAGATAGGACCTTTGATAATTATTATTAGCGAGAATAACAACCCAATGCATGATTGGAGTAGAACAAAACCAAAAAAAAAACTTGGTTTCGTGGCAAAGGCGTTTGACTTTTTTGTTGTTGTTTGGTGGGACACATCATAGATGTGCTGTGAATTAATACTCGAATTGGAATAATAAGTCAATAAAGTTAAGGATAAGAAAGGTTGAGAGATTGATTCCCACTTGTGGTTCTAGCAAGCACTACAACTAACCATAACATCAAACTTTCAATGAGATTTTCTTTTGAAGATTTTGTAATTACCATCCCTTTAAAGTGAGGTCAAACCTTACTATCTTAAAATTATGAGAAGGTGTCAGAGAAAATACTAGAACGCAAAAGGGGTAATTATTTTCTGCTCAATCTTACATGCCACATTGAATAATTTTTTTTTTTATAAAAAAAGAAGTTTGTGAAGGCTAGCTACCCAAGCTAACTTTCTCACCATTTCAAGAAAATTACCTGTGAGGGGAGTTTGCACCGAACAGGCGGGCCGAGCTAGTCGTGACTCGACACATCTTTGGGTCATGCGACCGGGCTGTCTCAGTTGAGTGTGAATTGGGCCGAAGTTCCGAATTAGTTCAATTGGGTTGGCCCAAGGTCTGGAGCTTGGACTGAGCTAGTTGTTGAGCCTAGATATTGAACCAAGGTATCTTCGATGATACCTTAAATCGGGCTAGGCCATTCTGCTGTACACCGAGATCAAACGGCGAGCACCTCGACAGATGAAGATGGAATTAATGCGTAAGACCGAACTAGTTGATTATCTCGGCCATTGAAGATAATCCAGATTGAGGCCCTAATTCGGTCGACTAAGAGTGTTATTTGATCAAGTATTGGGCGGAAGTTGTCCTTGATAGACCAGGTTTGACTAAGCATGAGCTCACTGTGAATTGGTGAGCTCGGTAGAGCCGATATTCAAAGTTCTGTCAGGACCGGATAGATAGCACAATCTTAAGGGCAGATTGCAGCGTCGTGCTAAATATAGTACGGTATGAATTGCTACGTGGCATGATTGGATTGTAGAAAGGAGATTCCGCCATCCATAGGCACCAATACCTATAGGCAGTTTCAGCATTCAGTGTTTGGCAGTATTTATACTTACAAGTGGAAGAAGACAAGAAGGGAGCATATCCACACGCCCAAGGAAGGACGGACAGACAAAGAGGTGCGCTCAAAAACTATATAAATGGCGTAGCGCCTCCATGCACAGGTCTGGCATTCTTGTTATCAGAGCTACCTACCTCTCTGTCTCTTCTCTCTTTTTCTTTTCTCTAAGTGTGCTAACTTGATCGTCGGAGAGGTTTTCTAGCTGCACACCCGTCGGATAGCTCACCGTCTTTCTGTTCCCAATTTGAGCGACGTTACTCAGAACTTAGACACGAGGAGTATGGAGAGCGACGAATATTTCCTTCTTGTACATTACTTAATTTTTTGTATCTCATTTTACTTATTATGAATCTAACTACTCTTTTGTACCATAGAAAAATCTCAAAATATTTATTTTGTTTTGTGAATTTAGTTTCTTTATGAATTAAGTGTAATTTTTCTCTTTAACTATGGCTCAAAGGCCAAGCTTATTTATTTAGCCAATGTGTTTTGGCTGTCACCTTACCCTAAACAAGCTAAAAAGCCTTACTTTAGCTTTTTTTAACTTCTACATAATATATCATTGTGCTGCAATAGATACACCAAATTTTCTTCCAAACTTTTAAATAGCATTTTTTTTTATTACATAAACATACTATTCTTTCAAATCCCTTCTCTAATATCACTTGTTTATATTAGGGCTGAGCAAGAAATCCGCAAAATCCGTAATCCGATCCAGTCCAGTCCAATCCGATAGGTTTGGATTGGTTTTTCGAACCCGTGGTTCGGTTCCGGATTGAAGAATTAAAAATCCGTAGTCCACGGATTGGTTCCGGATTGAACCTCACGGTTCCGGATTGAAACCGATCCGGACCGTATACAAATAGTCTATATTTTTATTATACATCCTCCCCCATAGTATCTTCTCTTATTCTATATAAAATCTAAACTCAAACCTAAACCTCGTATAATATCTTCTTTTATTACTTTTGTTTTTTAGTTTTTAGTTTTAATTTGTAATGATCTAAATACTTATGATGAAACTAGTTTTTTTATGATTGTTTAAATTCTAGAACATTATGTCGCTATTATAAAAAAACATGTTGCTATTGTAGAACTAATATAGCGCTATGTTTATATTTTTATAAAATTAAAGTATTATATATATATATATATATATTTTTGTTATTTAATTATGTGAATCCGTGGTCCTAAACCGATCCAATCCGTGTTGAAATGGATTGGTTCGGATTGGTTCCAAGAGAGAGAGAGAGAGAGAGGTGAAGCAAGTTGATTGGCTATAAATAGATCTTTGAAACTAGGTATTGGCATCCAATTTGAGCATGAAAATATGAGAGTATTAGAGGAAGAGAGGCCTTACATGAAGATAAGAGTCTTGTTTGGTAGCCAAGGACGACTTGCCTCGTCCATCAAAGGGGGTGTTCAAGCACACCATATGTTTATATATTTAGTTCTCTTATCAATACAGAAATATCTCAGAATATGAATTGATAAGATTTTACAATATTTGTTAATAAGATCTAGTTTTAGAAAATCTTATTTGTTTATATATATTTTGTGTTCGATTCTGTAATGGGTTTATTTCTATACATTGGAACCTCCTTGTTTGGTTTGAGGCAATCTCCTTGGCTAACTGACAGGCACTTCTCTCTCATCCTAGGCCTTCTCTTCTTCTCTACAAGCACTTCTCTCTCATGCTAGGCGTTCTCTTCTCTTTCATGATATGTCAAACAAATTCTTTTTGAATGTGACTTTCACCATATCTAATTTAAAATTAAATTTTAGATATTTTTATGAATATATATTTTTGAATACATAGTTTTTTTTTTTTGAAAATTCTCGAATAAGCCCAATTTGAACTCAATAAATTAAACTAAAGTTTGAGTGGAGTTTTTTTTTTTGGAACTGAACTGACTAATTTATTAAAGTTTTACTTTGTTAATTTTTTTTTTTGTTGAAAAAAACAGAGTATCAAAACAAATAACAACAATAACCTAACAAATATAAATATTTTTACCAAAATAACTTAACATAACAAACAACTTCGTAACAAACTTAGGAGTCATTTGGCAAGTAATTATTTTAATAAAAAGGTCAAAAATAATAATTAAAAAGTTAAAATGTCAAAAATTTGGCATTTTTAAAGAAGTGTTGCTTGATTCTTGAGATTACGCTTTTGTGATGGGCCAAAAAACAAAGACATATTTCCTCGTTATCAAAAACAAAACAAAAAAAAACTTGTGCTTCTAAGTTTGCTTTTCACATACTCTACTCATATTTGACTCCTATTAGTGTTACATTATGTAATTAAGAAAGTATCGTTTGATCCTCTGATTTATACTCCTGAGATGGGTAAATGATCCAAACACATTTCAGTTTTTTTAAAAAAAATTGTGCTTCAACTTTTAAATGGAAGTGACTTTTAAAATAAATAAATTAATTAACCCTTATGTATAAGGGGAAAAACAAAAATGAGAAGTAGAAAAAATAATTATAAATTCATAAAGTATATTAATTCAAAAATCATTAATATTTTTATGAGTTTGTAATTAATTTTTTAAAAATAATTCTTATTATTATTTTTTTGATATTCCCCTATTTATAATAATTTCTGGTCCGACCAGGCATAATATTCCTTATCCAAAGTGGAGTGAGCGTGTGTGTGTGTGTGTGTGAGAGAGAGAGAGAGAGAGAGAGAGAAGAGAGAGAGTGAGAGAGAAGATAGAGAGAGAGAGGGAGGAATGGCAGCAGTGGCAACAATAATTCCTTCAATCTCTACGGTGAATCTGCATTTTCAGGCAAGTCTGAAGAAGGGTTTGGGATTAGACTCAACAAGAAGAAGAAGAAGATTGAATTCTCTTGTTAGCATCACTCGAGCCTGCCTCCGTCACCGCAATGCTCCTCTCCTTGAATCTGCAGCCAAGCACACTGTAACATTCTTACTTTCATTCTCTTTTTCCTCATCTGGATTCTATGATCTATCATATATTGTGATGTTCTTTAACCCAAACCCCAAATGAAAAAAAAGAGAGAAAAAGAAAAGTATGCCCTGTTTCTTGTTCATATTATGGGTTTTGTTACAACTAATATTTAGTTTTGTGTGTTTGGTTTAATGTTATAATATAATGCAAATTAAGTTAATATGGTTATAACATCTTTGTAATAAATTATTTTCCTCTTTAACTATGGCTCAAAGGCCAAGCTTATTTAGCCAATGTGTTTTGGCTGTCACCTTACCCTAAACAAGCTAAAAAGCCTTACTTTAGCTTTTACATAATATATCATTGTGCTGCAATAGATACACCAAATTTTCTTCCAAACTTTTAAATAGCATTTTTTTTATTACATAAACATACTATTCTTTCAAATCACTTCTCTAATATCACTTATTTATATAAATAAGTGTTCGAGATTTGTTTCACATTGTGTTTTTTAAGCCATTCAAACTTAATTCATGTTGTTTGGAGGTCTCTCTACCTAATGACAATTAGTTTTGAGTATGACGTCTCAAACTCTAACATGAACAAGGACTCTAGATGTGGGGAAATGAAGGATGGACGATCGACGGTGGTCTTCTCTTTTCCTCAACAGCAAGATTGAAACAATTAATGGGACATGAGGTTTTCAATGTTGAATATTGAGAATATTCTCAATGTCAAATTATTTGAACTGTATTGCCTTCTGAAACTGGTGACCATAGTATGGGAATCATGGACATGTTGCTCAATCAGAAATTATTGGTAAATTAAATCCAATTCTAATGCACCATTTGTTTGGGCAGAAAACATTTTCTATATAAAACTTTTTTCAAAAATGTTTTTTGGAGAAAACATTTTTTTATATTTGGTGGTGGTGGTGGTGGTGGGATGAAAGTGGTGGTGGTGGTACGATGAAGGTGGTGGTGTGGTGATGGGGTGGCAGTGACGGTGATGGTAGTGGTGGCCATGGTGATGGTTATGTGGTGGTGGTGGATGTGAGAGTGGTGGTAGTAGTGTGGTGATATTGGTAAGAGTTTAGTTCGGAAAATGTTTTCCTCCTTTTAAAGCAAAAAACATTTTCTAGCCAAAAAGACTTATTTTCCGTTAAGACTTTTATTTTCTATTATACCAAATTCCAAACACTAGAAAAATACAGAAAGCCCAAACAAACGGAGCGTTGTGGATCCCTTTTCACTCTTCTCTTGATTATCTGCAATTATGTAGGGAGCAGGTAAAGGGCAACTAGTCTATATCTTCGCCTCTTCGGTGTTCTTTTGTAGGTGGATACATTCATTAAAAGTGGCATGGTGGTTGGATTAGGATTTGGCCTTGCTTCATGCATAGCTATACAATATTTGGGTCGGCAACTTCGTGTGGGTGCTATAAAAGATATAGTAGGAATATCCACGTGAGTTCATCCTTTTTATCCGCTATCAAATAAGTTGCCTACTATCTTGACCAATTGAATTGAATAATAAGATAATTCCTAATAATGTAAGAAACTTAATTAGCTGAGCATATCTTAGCAGTTGATGCTATTGCATCTGGTTATATTCTTTCTTTTTTTTTGATCGGCAACAAAAGAGTTATTAGAAAAGAAGAAAAGTACCAGAGAGAACGAGAGAACAAGGAGTCCTCCATGAAAAGAAAAGAAAAAAAAAAGATGAACTAAAATCTCGCACTACATATCACACATTGCCTCAAATCTCTAGAAATAAAAAAAGAGTGGAATTCTTTAGTATAATCTCTTCTTTTTTCTGGTCCCTAGAGGTTCAAGGCAACATGTGATTCTTGTGTAATTCTACGCCTTTGTTTTTTTCACTCATTCTAGATAGAACATGTCAATGATTATCAGTCACTCTCTTGACTTGGTGCAAGTTAAAAGCCTGTTTATTAGACTTGTTTATTTTCAATCACAAAGTAAGTTTAATTGTCATTGGTGTGATGTAGATATGTTGGTAGTGCTAGTGAAGCAGCGAAGGTAGGAATTCCATTGGATCACTACCAAGATACTTCTCAAGTGTGCACGATTTCTAAGTATCCAATGACTAGGTTGCATTTTAACTAGTGTTTGTGAGTATTTACATGCTTTAGACAGCTCTATTTGTATCCTAATTTGAAAGCAGACAAAAAAAAAAAAAATGTGAATCTGTGTGCTACTTTATTTAAAAAGTAACATATGTAAAGATCAATTTAGACAAAATCTCAGGGGAAATGAAAAGGGTGTGCAAATTCCCACTTGAATTTGATAAATTTCTTTTCAGAAGGTTTTCTAGACTGGTCCTATTAAATGACGCTATGAATTCATTGATCACTTGTATGCTTTTTCGTAAACTTTATACTGTTGCACTTGTCTTTTAACTTGTTATTTTGTAGATTGATTTTGCATTCAACGATGCTGATATTATTGAAGAAAGAACACTTATTTCATTAATTGGGCATCAGAGATTGCAAGGCGAGGAATCTATAATTCAAGAGAAGGTGAGTCGAAATATTGTTATTTGTTGGACTCAAGTTATGTTATTTCCATTTTATTTTTGATTTCTTGATCAAAACTTTTTGTCTTTCTTTTCCCTCACAGAATATACTCAATGCTGCTGAGAAACTTGTATTCATAGTCATAGAGAAATAATAAAAAAGTGGTCTAGAAGGTTCAATTCTAGTTTTAATTAAATCTGTAAGCTGTCATATGCATTATTGGCATAAATTGCTGGAAATAATTTACCAAAATAAGGGTTAGTTGACTTAATTGACATTTTAAAAGTCTTGTGTCAGTTCAACTGGATGGAAATTGCAGAAGAGATTGAAGACCTATTTTTAGGTGATGCGGAGGTATTCTCATGATGATAGTATGGCATAATGTCATCACAATAACAATTCCTTTTCTCATATGTAGAATAATAAGAGCCTATTTGGTGCAACTTCTTACAAGCTTAAGGCTGATGATTTGAAAGCAGAAGCTAAACCCCTTCCTAAGCTTCTCAATAGTCAGTTTTTCTTAGCTTAATTTAGCTATTTTTGTCTCATAAGGTGTAAGCAGAAGTTAGTAACACTCTGGCACATAAAGCAGCCCCTATAAGCTGCACCAAACAATGCTTAAATAAATTTCATAATTATGACTGCAATCACATAATTACAGGTACGGAGGAGACCATCTATAGGCCATGCAGGTCCAACGGGAGGCGACTTCCCACTAATCACTAGAGAAGGGCATAATGTTCTTGATGTTATATATACGTCGCCAATACTAAACCTTGGTATGATATGACTATCGTGGTGATCGCCTTAATTTCCTATGTTTTTGTCCATGTTGTATGATATTTTCTTAGAGGACCATTGCTTTTACCCGAAGTTGAAGTAGCCAACACTCTTGACAATATTGATGGGGTTGTAGACCATGGAGTCATTTCTAAGATCCCGTAAGTTCCAAGTTGCCTTGTAACCTTCTTCTGTTTTTGCATGGATGACATTTGTTTATGCTTGATGGATAGATAAGAATTTGTAGAAAAACTAACTAAATGAATAAAATTGTGATACTATCCTCAATGGCATGTAGAGGTCACAACTTGGAGTGATGGCAAGTGGTATCCACTCCTAGCGCTATGATGCAAGCTTGAGTAACGAAAATCAGCTTGTCCTAAAACATGATGGGAATGTCGCCTACCTACTACGTCCCCTAGACCCTATTGTAAGTGGAGCCTTGTACACTGACGTTTACTATCCTCGGTGACATGTTTTGGGACATTGCCCCACCTTATCATATGTTATTGCCACATCATTAGGAGCCTCCATGTGCCTACCATCATTTAAAAGACATAGACCTACAATATGAGGATATGTGTACCTCCAATATCACTCCCTCTATTTGTTGAGCCATGTTATTCCTCGAGTGGAGATTAAATCAAATGATGCCTATGGCCTACAAGCTCCCCTCTACGTACTTTAAGCCCATAACGTTATGCCCTTAGGGCATTGATGCCTGCCTAGATTAGGAGCAAGGCCTACAAATTTGAGCTGACTATGGAGTCATTGTGTAGTAGCCTCCATGCTACTTCCATGACACACTCTTATAAGATATTACCCATTGATTAGATACTTTGGACCATATGGCTCAGTGTTCTAAACCGATGGTTCGCTTGGGCTTCTGATGGTCCTACTCATCTAAGTATAACTTAATTTTGTGTTTCTTGTCAGTTTTTTTTTGATAATTTTCTCTTCCATAGATAGTCAAGTGAATCATCACGATAGCTAAAGGTAGCTGCTTTGGAATGATAAACCATTTTCACATTGTCTACTTCTGACAGTGGTTTTAAACACCATTCTTTCTGGGTTATTCTTATTTTATTTCTAAAGGAAACTGATACATGGACAATGTTTTGGTTTTTTTCTCTCTCTCACACACAAACATTGAGTAAAATGCAGATGCACTACAGTGATTGCTTCTGAATATGGGCTGAGCATTGTAGAGAATCCACCAAAGAATGCAGAGAGCGGAATTTAATCGAAGCAGTCAGTAATAGAGATTAATTATTATATATGCCTTTAGTTTAATTACTACAAGTAACTTTTCTGGTATGACTGGAAAACGTGATTATGGAAAGCAAAAGGATGGTGATTAATTATAGATTCATGCTTCTGACTAATCCGATAATTACCTATAAACTAAAAGGATAGTTCAGAAAATCCTTTTTGTCATATGTTCACTACAAGAAAAAGCAGTTTTAACGACTAAAAATATAAATTTCGTCGCTGAAAGTAGGACAATTGGCGACTAAAATTGAATTAGTAGCCAAAAGTGTAGCCAAAAGTGAAGACTTTTGGCGACTAAAACAGTTTAGTAGCCAAATGTGTAGTTATTGGCGACTAAAAATCAGTTTAGTCGCCGATTATATGGGTTTTAGCGACTAAAACAATTTTAGTAGCCAAAAGTGAAAGTTTTTGGCGACTAAAAAAATTTAGTAGCCAAAAGTATAGGTTTTGGCGACTAAAAAATAGTTTGGTCGCCGATTATAGGTGTTTTACTGACAAAAAAAAATTTGGTAGCCAAAAGTAAAGGTTTTTGGCTACTAAAAAAAATTTAGTAGCTAAAAGTGGACAATTGGCGACTAAAATTCAATTTAGTCGGCAAAAGTGGAGGTTTTGGCGACTAAAAATAAGTTTAGTCGCCGAAAGTGGTTATTTTTAGGCGAAAATTAATTTTTTTAGCGACTAAATTATTGGTAGTAGCCAAAACAAAGGTTTTTGGCGACTAAAAAAACATTTAGTCGCCAAAAGTGGCTTCCTTTTTTTTAATAAATAATTTATTTTTTACATAAATTATATTGAATAAGAATAATTATGTTTATATATATAGTTTTATATTAATACGGGTCAATATACTATATAAATAATATATTTTGCATATATATACATTCATGTGGTATTATTGTGGCATAGTGGAGAGAGTGTTTTGGTAAAGGTTTAGAATGTGGGAGGTTGATGGTTCAAAACTTGGGAAGAGCAGAGGGTAATTTTTATTTATTTATTTATTTTTTTCTTAAATAAACTTTTGGCGACTAAAATGGGTGGTCGCCAAAAACTTCAGTATTGGCGACGAAAAAAATAGTCGGCAAATGTACAAATTAAAAAAAAATAATTCACTATTGGCGACTAAAAATTTAGTCGCCAAATGTATAATTAAAAAAATATAAATGAGCTTTGGAGACAAAAATTTTAGTCGCTACAGACTTGGTTTTTGGTGACTAAAAGTTTTTTAGTCGCCAATACCTTCGGCGACCATGTATTCGCGACAAAACCGGCGACTAAAATATTTAGTCGGGAAAAGTGAAAAGTCGACTTTTGGCGACTATAAAAGGACTTTTGGCGACTAAAAATTTAGTCACCAAAGGTGCTTTTTCTTGTAGTGGTTTCACTTGCCTCATCTTACAATGTGCCTCTCGTATTTTCAATTGGACTTGATAGATTTTAAATCTTAGTAATACTTTTTGGTTTTCTTCTTAATGCTTTCGTTTCTTGTTTTCTATTTACATTACATTTTTTTTTTGGTTTTGAAAATTGGATGTGAATTCACTTCATGTAGTAAATACATATAACTCTCATAATGACAGATATATAAACTATCACAAAAGGTATCAAACTCCTCTCTATAGGAGTTGAATCTACAACCTTGCACTACAAATGGTGTTGCACAACCACTAGGCAAAATGTCTTAGTTTATAAATATTAGGGTAAATTACAGTTATCTCCTGTGAGATTTTTGACAATTACTGGGATCTCACTTATGATTTTTGAAATTACATTAACCTCTCTTATTTTTTCTGATATTTGTCAAGATTCTTCTCTCCTATTAATTTAGCCCAAACGTTGTTAACTTAGTTGGGTAAATGACCATAATACCCTTTAAATACTATTCATAACCTCAAGGGAAGCGTAATTTACTTATATATTAAACTATCATTTTTATTTTTCACACTACAACAAATTTGGGATTTAAAGACGAAACAAATTTGTCCCAAAATGTATATGTTTCGTCACCCAAACTAATTACGACGAACATTTTTCGTCACTCGTTTTGTCTCTAAAGGGTCGTCGCAAAAGGGTCTTAGAGACGAAAAAAAAAAATCATCATTGAAAATGATAAATTTGTGACGAATTTTTTTTGTCTCCAATATACTTTATTGGGAACATACTTGTAAGTAATTAGCGACAAAATATTTTGTCATTAAAGAAGAAATTAGAGACAAAAGTATTTTGTCATAAATATAAGAAATAGAGACGAAATAATTTTGTCACGTTTAATATAAATGAAGGCAAAAAAAATTTGTCAAAGAAGCTACCAATAGAGACAAAAACAAATTCATCATTAAAAATGATAAATTTGTGACGTATTTTTTTTTTGTCTCCAATACACTCTGTTGGGAACATACTTATAAGTAATTAGTGACAAAATATTTTGTCATTAAAGGAGAAATTAGAGACAAAAGTATTTTGTCATAAATATAAGAAATGGAGACAATAATTTTGTCATGTTTAATATAAACGAAGACGAAAATTTTTTGTCAAAGAAGCTACCAGTAGAGATAAAAACAAATTCATCATTAAAAATGATGAAATAATGTCAAAAAAAATTCGTCACACATTGAGGGTAATAGTGACAAAATGTGACAATATTTTTTGTCATGACAAATTCATTTAGCGACGAAATAAAGAATTTATGACAAAATTAATCATCCACCTAAGCCAAATAAGAGACAAAAAAACCTTCTTTAGGGATGGAAAATTTTGTCAATAATTTCATAATATTTTTTTCCACATTATATACCTATTTTATCAAAATCTAAATTTTAGTTCAACAAATATGACCCTGTTCATGTTGAAACCTGTTGAATATAACAATTCCATCATAATTTAACCAAACCTGTTATCAACACATTTACGAATTAACAAAATGAAAATATCCATTCATCATTACAAATAATTCCATCCTTATATAATAAAATAGTGAAATATCCACAAAATATCCAAAAGTTATAACTTGTTCAATTCCACCAAAAATCCAACAATAACTAGTGTAACTCCAAAAAGTATGTGTATCCTTATCAAACAAAAATGAACATTCAAACAAATTACATCATTGTTGCGCATCAAAAATGCCACCCCTATCCAATCTGCAAAAAAATAAATTAAAAGTTTTAGTAATTAATCAATTATACAAAAGATTAAAAACATTAGTAACTCATCAATTTACAATTAGATCAATTATACAATTTATCCCTGTAACAGACTTTTTTTTAGATTATGAGAACAAAAAATTAATTTTAAGGCTAATTCACAAATGGTGCATCCCATTAATGTGCCGTAAGTTCATACAACTTATATTGGTCCCTCCTAAGGTGTTTCTATTGGTTCTTGTACAAATCTGTAATTGTGTGATAATTTAGCATTTCGACTGCCTTTTTTCAAGCTTTAAGTATAGAGAAAAAAATATATATTTTAGACTAATTCACAATTTATACATCATGTGCACCTATACAAATTGGATGTCATATGCATGTTTCCATTACTTCCTAATTCTTCAAACATGTATTCTTTTATAAAATTTGTTATATTAAAGTTAATATATTTTACCAAGAAGTATGTTCACTTGTGGATGAGTCCCCTCCACTTCCAAAGTGTCCAGTGAATTCTTTGGTCCTCAAAAAGTTGACAACATCAGCCATTATCTCCCCTTGCTTCTTCTTACCCTCTTCAAGATCTTCTATTTTATTGTTTTGCATTTGTATTTGTTCCTTTTGTGTCTCTATTTGCATCTCAAGGCGCTTCACATAATCATTTGTTTTAGCATATATGGCAGTGGCTCTCCTAATAGAGGATGAAGGTCTCATGCCAAGTCCCTTCACATAGCCAGACCTTGGCTTTTGGACTTTGATTGATAGCTCTTCTGCAGTCAAAGGGGTTGATCCCGGCTGTGAGAGGTGATTAGCCTGTGTATGTATCATATTTTCCTATCAAATATAAAAAAAATTAAATAATTATTAGAAAATTAAATAAGATTATAACAAATAGTATTCTAAAATTTTGTTAATAAAAATTGCAATATATACTCACATAATTACACTGAGCTTGAGATGAGATCCACTCATGTGTTTACTCATTATAGTGAGTTTGCTTGTACAACTCTACTAGATCAGGTAGCATCTTCTTTTCTCGTGCCTAATTCGATAGACCAAATATTCAATAAATAAAGCTAAGAATCTAATATAATTCTGAAAGTGCAAGGATACGTACCAGTTTTTCTACTCTAACAGGGATTGACCTAAAACCACACCTATGTTTTGTATACATCCTTTCTCTATTCGCGATGTTGGCCTTTGATTGTTCCTATAAGGAAGAATGACCAATATAACAATGAAATGTATCATTAGTAAGACAAATATTTTGGCTTTTGATTTGTAACGCCCTCAAAATAACAACAATAAACCCATCAGATAAGACATGCATTTACATATAAACTAACCACATTCTTTTATTCATTAGAGTTCCATTACACAGGTATTACATGTTAACATCATAACAAAATGCCCTACGGGCTTACAGCTTTCCAAGTTAACACTTGGTTACAACAAAAGAGTACTAACTCGTTTACACATTAAGCCCTAGGCTTGAAGTTACATGTAATACATCAAAAGTTAAGCGACAAAAGTATGTCCGCCACTAGCCTCCCAGCTATGTCCTTGGAGGTGGCATGCTTCCTGCACCTGAAAATGATATTCCCATATAGGGTGAGCCACAGCCCAGTAGAAATACACTAAACCAACCATGGACAATGACTAAAACATTAGCAATTGATAGTTGGTCAACACTGATACAATCACATAAATAACATATTTATGTCAACGACTTACAAGTCCCAATTACTTTTCATTTTCCCCTTTTCAACAGATAAGCATGCTAGCTCTATCACCATTTCCACAGATATGTATAAAAACTATAACTCACATTCAGATAAGCATAAAAGCTACATCCACATTCTCAACAGATATGTATAACAACAATATCCACAGATAAGCATACAAGCGGTATCCATTTCCAAATAGATCGTTGTACATCAACAATATCCACAGATAAGCAAACAAATCCCTGCGTCTGCCTAGAACCAGACGCTCCCGAAATGGCACTCAACTGTGGG